ACTTGAAATCTGTTTTTTTTCTCATGTCCATCCATCTTGATGTCGAGAAGATCAATGTGAGGACATTTGGAGATCAAAACCACCTCTTCTAGTAAACTTGTTGAGGTAGGCTCTAATTTGATTGTTTATAGCTTTGGCTCTATATAAACTTTTCCACATATATGTATTTAACTATATATGAATATATGTTATAATTTGAGACCCAAAAATATTATCGGACTGGGTCCAAGATTTGGATCCGGACGTAATCCGCCAAGTCCAATTTATGGATTCATACCTGAACCCAGTTTGGGTCTACCCGGGTCCGGATCCATTCCATGCCTAAACCCCAAGAACATGAACGTCTAAGATCAGCCGCATAAATAACTCATTAACGGTGACGATAATTCAGTTAACTGTGCCAGGAATTCTAGCAAGGTGACAAACTTCACAAACTCGGAGCTGAATAATAAGCAAAAACTAACGCAACCTATGCTCGTCCTGACACCAAGAGGCATGCTTAGATTTTCAGGATGAGATGAGCTATTCAATATTTTACCTATTTGCGACTATTTCAACATGGTCATATATTTATTTTTATGGATATTTTGAAATTGAATAAAAAACCTCTCTTAAATATTTGGATATATTTCTTAAATTTAAAAAAATAACAAACTCTAGAAAGAGAATTTATTTTTGATAAAATATAGAATGAGATCATTTATCTTTGATGCAAGGTGGTCACATTAATCTTGACCGTTAGATGTGAAATTGAGCGGTTGTAATTATTCCATTACCAAGCTCAAACTTAAAATGAAATTTTTTCAAATTTTGTGACACATCCAAACTATCAAATTTTACATCAAATGGTTGTAAGAAATTGTGACCACCTCGTATTAAAGATAAATGATGTTATTATATAAAATCCCCAAAACATATTGTATACAATGGGACCATTTAACTTTACCATGCAATTGGAAATCTAATAGCTTAGATATGTCACAAAGTTCGAAAAAATTTATTTTGAAGTTTGAGCTTGGTCAATAAAATAAATGCTGCCATCTAATTTCACATCGACTGGTCAAGATTAATTTTGACCACTTTATATCAAAAGTAAACGTCTCATAAACATTTCCAAAACCAAATATAAAATCATCATAATTATTTTGGCAGACAAAAAAACCCTATATTTTTTTTTATGGATATTTCGTTTTGTCTAGTGACGGTAGCTAGACGAGCAAGATCTAGCATTATAGCTCAAGAACTATCCTTTCACCTATGAACTTTATTGGAGTTCGGAACTTTTAAATACATTTGGTTTTCTTTCTCATAAAAGTAAATAAGAATAATTCAAGAACACATGTATTATATTTCTGCGGGAGCATAATGTATGCTTACTCCCTCGGTGTAAAAGACTTGAAGATTTGAGAATCGGGTTTGTATAGGGTGCCAACGCAACTTACACCATATAAGTAAGGCAAACCTCTAAATTTTACTGGAAGATGCAACTCTGATGTTACTAGCTTTACAATGGCTTGAAAATTCGTCTTCAATGATAGATAGAATTGAAAATTCCAAAATAGTGTAAATTACATAATTCTTTAAATACATAAAATTTTTGAAATGAGTAATGATACTGAGACTTTTTCGGACCCATGTGTGTACCCCAAAAGATCACTATTAAATTTGACACAATCTCTATAAAAGTTATCATGGGTGTGGGGCTTGACTTTTCTAGAGATATGTGCCAAATTTAATGGTGATCCTTTGGGGTCCTACACACATGGGTGTGGGAGGGTCTCAAAGGATCATTACTTTTTTGAAAATAGACGGTTCAGATAGCTTATGACATGATAAACTATTTTTAAGACTTGAGAGTATAATTTTTGTTTATATTGATCTTGAGGTCAAGATGACCAATAAAAATAAATTTTCTTACTTCAACAAGTTATTTTTGCTTGATACCTTGCCTCTATAGTATAAGGTTAGAACCTTCTACAAACTTTCTCTTTTTTTTTTTCTATCGGAAATATTGGGATCAATGCAAGCATAATCGGATTATTGTTAAGGTAAAGAACGATTGTTTCATGTGGGCTAGACCGCATTTCTACAATATGCAGTCGTGATGCATAAAGCATCCATCTCAGTGTTCGTAAAACTAGCCGGTTAGAATCGGAACCAGCCAGTTAGAACCGGAACCGGCCGGTTAGATCGCTACAGGTGGGGTGGCGAGTTCGGTTAGGGCCGGTTTTACGGTACACCTCATAAGATGGCACTCTCCAAAAAATATCAGCACCAAAACCGGCCGGTTTGAGGTCGAACTGGCAGTTTTTAGTATAAACTAGCCGATTTTTCCTAACCGGTATGGTTTACCGTTTTAACGCCTGATATAACGGCGTTTTTAACACATCAAATAGCAGCCGTTATTTGATACATGCTCGTTATTTTTTACAGAACGAGATTTTGCTGCTTTTTTTTGTATATTTTTTCTTTTTTTCGGTCAACTATTGATGTTATACACCGGAAAGTTTCTATAAATCGTCGATTATTGAATCAAAATTCCAAAAACAAAGAGTTCTTGGAGGATTGAAATGGGTTTTTTGAAAATTAGAAATTTCCGCCATTCTATCAAATGCAGCTTCAATACCTCATAGATTTTCATAAAATGGAGGGCTTTGATTCATTGTTGAAGGATTCAACGTTCACATATTTCAAAATTTCCAAAACGATGAAGATTTGAGGTTTTATTGGGCCCCAAGTACTGCCGCTCGAAGAATTGTTTTTTATCTAAACAAATAGATTTCTGATCGATCAATTGATAGATTTTTATCGAATTGATCACTGAAGTTTGATCATAAAGGTCTCATGTATTAAATAAACGAATTATTTTGATTTACTATTGATTAAATATTTTTATATCAATTTTTTTTTGCTACGTTTTTTTCCAAAAATTTTTGTGAAGTGAAAAATCCGCAATTTTTTGAATAAAGATCTCAATAGTGAATGAATCTTTATGACATTTTGGGCATTTGAATCTTAATTAAAGTATCTATCATATCCCCAATGTCAATTTGTTCAAAAAATGAAAGATTTGGGGTTGATTTTGACTCTAAAGTTTATGTGTTATTTGGCTCAATTTTAGGGTTCTTAAAAAAAATGTGTTCTTTAATGAAATTACGTTTTGTTTTTATAAAAATATGTTATTTGTGATGAATATAAGAAAAAAATAATATATTATTTTATTCTTTTAATTTTATATATTTTTGCTGAGCTTTTTGGATCGTTTTTTATGTTTTTTACAAAAATGTCTTTTTTTTTATAAATGTGAGAATAAAATATTTCGTTCTTTTTAATGTTATATATTTTTTATGAGCTTGTTGGATTGGTTTTAATGTTATATTTTTTTTTATAAAAATATTTTTTTTGTGATGAATATGAGAAAAAAAAATATTTATTTTTAATGTTATTTTGGTGCATGTTATTGTTGTCTTAGTTCTCAACTTCTTGTTTAGTTGTGACATTTTATTCTAATTTGTTTTTTATTTGTTGCTCGCTATTTATCATTTTTTGCAACTTCATACTCGTTAAATCTATTTATTAGCCTTTATGAAGAAGAGTGGTAGAAACTAAAATGTGTTTTACTCATCTCTCATGTTTCCACATGCCGAAATGGATAAAAATTTAACTTATTTATTTATTTATTTATTAATATGCATCTTAACTCTACATTTTAAAGTTGCCATCTTATATAATTTTTTTTTTTTTCATGTTAAAACCTAACTCTAAAGGTTATTGAGTAAACGAGGTTTGACCATTTTAAAATTGTTTTGGCCCTTTGAAAATCGACTCGGCAATATTTTTTAAAATATGCGATTTGGCCATTTGAAACAACACTCAACACCTTAGATTTGATAACCAAGTTATTGAGTAAACGAGGTGCTCTCTCTTAGACTCACAACCCTTCGAAAAACTGGGAACATCATGCTACAAAAAAATACGCTATGAAATTCAATTCTAAACTGTATTAAAGGGTTTTTCAACATTAAAACAACATTTTTCAACATCAATATTAAAAAAACATAAAAGCATATATTGTTGCATCATCCATTGTTAGTTGGACTTTGTAACTTCCTCAATTGAATTTATGTGAAATTATAAATTGTCTCGCATATCTCCATAATATTCCAATATTGAATTATATAAAAAGTTGTTTCAATTTTTTTTATAAGATAAATGTATGTAATATGATAGTGTATACTTAATCTAAGTTTTTTTATTTTTTTGGGGGGTTTTGAGTCAATTTTTTTTAAAAAAAATCTACTTGACCGGTTAGTCCGGTTACCGCTCTGGTTAGTCTGGTTCCGGTTCGAACCGCTCCTAGCCTCATGACCGGTTAACCGTTCCGGTTCGATTTTGCAAACACTGATCTATCTTAAATATGGATGCAAATAGTTGGTCTATCTGAAAACAATTTTAACTAACTGGTCCAAATGTTTTTTTAATATAACTATTATTTTTAGTTTTCATTTTTTTTTTTCATATGCATGATCTCCATGTTAAAGATTATATATTATCTAAAATTTAGAATCCAATTATATTTAAAAAATATATTTATTACCAAGCCCATATTTCTAAAGGTTGGCCGCATGCCAACTGCATCCTAAGGTAAATGGTTTAATAGGCCTGTAACTTTATTAAAATAAGTAAAACCTCACATCATAACTCATAAAAAATTACAAATCGTGTTAAAAAACCTATAAATCAATCATCTCATCTTGAACATTATGGTTGTGAAAAAAATTAAGATTTTAAATTGAAAAATAATATATATTGTAACAAATCATCTAGACTATTTATTTCACTCTAAAAATAATTATGCATATATCCACAAGATCCGTAGTATATTTTGATTTTCAAATTTCATCATCGGTGCCAAAAATTAAGTATAGAACCATCATACAACTTACTAAAGTACTTTTCAAGTGAGGATTTGAGTGAGGCTTTATTTTGTTTTCATAAAGCCTAGACCCTACACTGACTTCATCCCATTATTAAACCCAAAATCTCCCGCTGCCCTAGCACCATCTGAGCTCTCACTCTCTCTCTACCCATAATTGTTTTATGCATCTCTTTCCCCATAACAACTGATTCACCATTGCCATTGCTCTTTCTCCAGGCCAAGGTAATACTTTCTCTCTCTACATTCTCTGAGTATAATTGATAGCCATCTCTACATTATCTGAGTATAATGAAGCATGAAATCAATAACAAACAAACCCCACTAGGAAACCACAAAACCCCACAAAAACTGACGCAATATATAACTCCACAAGAAAACCCATGAATTTGTTTTTGAAAGCAAGTAATGTGGCCCACGAAAATCTGAAACAACCCAAAAAGTTTTTGAAAAAATTGCAGGTGTTTCAAACTTTCGAAACTGTTGATAAGAGCTCAATGCACTAGTTTTTGGCAATATTACATATGTTACAAGAATTTTCCCTTTGATGGTCTTTCCACTGAATAATAATAAATTGAAAGATTGACAACACTATTTTAATAAAAAATCAGGTTTTATTGTTATTACTAATTTACTATTTTCAATGTTTTACTGATTTTTTCCAGTATAAGAACAACTAAGAACACCAAATATAAAAGCAAATAAGAACTCCAAATATACCCGTACTGGTTGGATTAAGTTTCCAACTGGTTTTAGGGGGCTCGAAGTTTAAGATTTTTGTGTTTGAATGATATGTGATATTTTGTTCAGTTATTGGTTCTGAATCATCATTTTATATTGGCTTTGAAATGGTTAATTCATTGCACTTTTAAGCATTTAAATTTATATAGACATGTTATAGCTGTCCATGTTTTGAGTTGTTCTTATTTGGAGGATTCCATTGAATAGTTTGGCAAGGGTTTAAAGAATGGGTTTTCAGAGGGAAGGAGGGTTACAGAGTGACTAAGTGGGGTTTACAGCACTGGTTTTACGAATGGGTTTTCAGGGAGGGAGGGATTCTTATGATTTTATAATTGGTGAGGTTTGTATAAGGCTGCCTCCTTATACTGTAGAAGTCAGGCGCACCTATAAATTTACTTAGAGATGTCGTTTCGGAATCTAAAATCTTATGATGACTTAAAAATCTCTTTTTATCTTCAGTTAGAAATTTTAAAATTTAAAAAATGGTACAAATTGAGCAGATCAATAAACACTTGAAAATCTTGAAAACAGACGGCCCATATGACTTTTAACAAGATGTACTATTTTTGAACTTGGAATTCTTTTTTTTCTTCATGTCCATTCATCTCAAGGTCGAGTTAATCAGTTGGAGGGTTCTCCTATGTGGAAACACTCTCCGCTGTAGGATTTTTTAGATGCACCTTTCCTCAACAGTATAAGGTTGCAACCTTATACAAACTTTTTCCTTTTATAAAGTGGAATTAGAAAGGGGAGAAGGTGGTAGGTGGAGATAGGGCTCAGAATGCAGAAGAAAAGGATGAACTTACTATAGGGTCTAGGCTTTATGAAAACAAAATAAAGCCTCACCTCAAATCCTCATCCGGAAAGTATTTTCGGCATCAGAAATCTTCATGATGGCTCTAAAATTAATTTCCAGCACCGACAATAAAATTAAACTCAAAAGATGGTACCGCTCTTGCGGATATGTGAACACTTATTTTTAGGTTGAATTGGATGGTCTAGATGATTTGTTGCAATATATCCTATTTTGGAATTTGAAATCCTAGTTTTTTTTTCACACCCAAAATGTTCAAGTTGAGATAATCGATTTAAAGGTTTTTCAACACTCTTAATTGCAATTTTGATGAGTTATGAGGTGAGGCTTTACTTATTTTGATAGGGCTGCAGCCCCATCAAACCATTTTCCTTAAGAAACCGAAGAAAATAAAGTTAGACAAGGAATCAGTAAAGTAATTTTGACAAATATAGAATATTTGATTATGCTTTGCTCTCTCCTGGTAGTAGCCTTATTGGATTAAAGCTAAACTGTGTTCTCACTTTATTTTTCTTCATAATCATTTAAATTTAATTATTAATCTCCAAAGAATTCCCTTTCATTCAGGGCAGGGTTCACTTGTAGTTGATCAAGAATATGATGTCTATGATCTTGTAATGATGTTAGCCATCAACCCTTCTGACAAGAAGACATTCCAACGCCACATCTCTGAAGGTGATCTGGTCATAGTATACGAGAGACATGACAGCATGAAGGCCATCAAGGTCCAGGATGGCTCAGAGCTTCAGAACAGATTCGGTGTTTTCAAACACTCTGACTGGATTGGTAAGCCATTTGGGTCCAAGGTCTTCAACCAAAAGGGAAAGTTTGTGTATCTATTGGCACCCACCCCAGAGCTATGGACATTGGTCCTCAGTCACAGGACTCAGATACTTTACATTGCTGACATCAGCTTCGTTATTTCGTTTTTGGAGATTGTGCCTGGTTGCGTGGTGCTTGAGTCTGGGACAGGCAGTGGGTCACTCACCACTTCCCTTGCTAGGGCGGTTGCTCCAACAGGACATGTCTACACCTTTGACTTCCATGAACCCCGAGCTGCTTCTGCAAGGTTTGCTTAGTTACTGTGGATTAACGTTTAAAAGTGTGCACCTTGTTTTAATTTGTTTACTGTAGTTAAGGTGGCAACATTAAGATTCATTTCATTGGTTGAATGAATGGGGTTATGATATATGTGCTGGCATGGAAATGGGGGTTTTACTGATTTCTTTTAACATTTAGGTTGCTTTAGCTGCTTTCATGAAACCAAAGGGGTCAGATCAAGATGGAAAATATTGACCTTTCGTTTCTTGTATTTTTAATTTTCAGCAGATGTTTTTGGGGAATCTTTTAGCCTAACTGCCTTCCTGTAATTGTAAAATTTGTTGGGCTGGGTTGTGTTAGTCACTTCAATCAAGCTGGATATTTCAGTTACTCTGCAAGTTCATGTTATGGAATTTGCATTTTCATATTAAGTTGGTCGTGTATGGCAGTTTTAGTGCCTTTGATATTCTGGCAGTCGTATTGCTTTTCTCTTATTTTTGATTATCAGATCTTCAAGTTCCTGATCTGGTCCAACATGGAGGACTACAGTACAGCTTAATTGTTTGGGTTTGTTTTGAAAGAATCAATTTAATTTCTCAACATTAATGATATTTTATTCTGTCCTTATTGCTTAAATGAAGAGTTTCCTGCCTAGAAAGCTGAGTATTTTCCCATGCCATTCTCTAGTTGTGTGGATTGTGAAACTCTTCTCTTTGCTTAGGTGGGGGATTCATTTCCCATGATTCCAATAGAAAACAAAAGGAGAAGAAAACAAGAACCCTGTTTTGACTAAAATATGTGAAATTTTTTGGTTGGATAACTTTCATGCTGCTTCTTTTTGTAATCTGAACGATATACTTCTTTTTTTATAGATTGTATTTGTTGATCTTACTGCACAAGCTTCTTTAGTAGGCCTGCATGTTGAAGTAGAGGTTTAGAGTACGTTTGGAATTTGTTGCTTTGGTATCACTTGATGGGGTGTCAAGAGAACTTAAAAAGTTTACATGAACACACAAAAACACCCCTTAACTAGACTTTATAGCAACATATAGAGTGACATTACTCAAAATTTCGTACACAATTACACCCCAAAAGACTTCAACAACATATCATCTTGGTCCAAAACTATTTCCACTTAACACATAACATGAAGATTGGCCAAAATGAACATTACATAACCAAATTACATATCAAATCTGTCCATAAATATTAGGACCACAAATATAACAATTACATACTCCTAAACACATTAAAATGCCAATCTCCTTACACATGAGGCAAACCAAATTTGTGCACAAGGACTCAAAATTATGGGATGCTTCACATGGATTAATTATTTGTCCATTAAGTTCTTATTTATAGCTTATATGATGATGCTACTTTGATAACATGAGAAATATGGTCCAAAGCAATGTAGGTTATGGGATGCAGTGAACTAGGATAGCAAACTTTAAATATGCTCAAGATTTTGAAAGAAAAATTCATGCGAAGCTTTATGGGAATCAAAGTATGAGAGACTGTTGTGTGATACTCAAGTATGGCCATCATTGTAGGTAATGGTTCAATATAGTGGGAGGCTAACAACATTACTACGGCCTATAAAATAATGATATGAATCTCACGAGGGGCTTAAAATCTTACTGATTTTGGGTCAAGAATGTGCAAATTCGGCATCAAACTACTCAAGAAAATTCAGCAAAATTCACCTTCCTCCACTGTGGGTTTGCAAGAATATTATGGACCTGTATATTGGGCTTCTTTCAGTGGTCATGGGTAACCCCAAGCTCCATCCCACACCTGTTCCGAGCTTACCTTTATTCGCCATGGCCCAAGGCAGGAAGAGAACTTTGGAAAACCTCGGTTTCTGGCACTTTGTGGGTATTATGGATAGAAAGAAATCACAGGATTTTAGAGGAGAAAGACCATCAATTGCGGTATCGGCCGACAAAATTTCGAACTTAATGGCTTTCTGGGCCTCAAACCATAGATTGTTCAAAGGCTTCCAATCCAATGACTTCCACAGGAACTGTGCTAACCTACTTTATGTGGCCAATCCCAAAATTTCATGGGCAGCTCTGTGGAGACCACCCTCGCTGAAGTCCGTGCCCTTTTGGAAGGCCTGCAAAGACTCAACAACATGTGGGATTCATCCATGGTGGTCGAAGGAGACTCCAAGAATGTTCTTTCGTGGGCATCCGGTCTTTATCCTTGCCCTTGGTGTTTAGATGACATCTTTGATGAGATATCCCAGTTGTCATACCAGTTGTTGCGGGCTATCTTAATCTCATGGCGCCATGTGTTTTGGGAAGCGAACTCGAATGCAGACCTTCTTGCTAAGGAGGGAGTCCACTCTAACACCCTGAGGGTGCTTTAGATTTGTCCACCCCCACCTTTAACTTCCCAGCCACAAGCCTTCTTTTGCCTCTCTTTTAAACCCTTTGGGGATGTAAAGGGTGCCCTATAAGGGAACCTCATTTGACTATATCATTAATACATGTATAGTTAAAAAAGAACTAGATAAGAAAAACTACTGAAAATTGTACCAAAATGGACTATGATCAAGTAGGCTTGAAACCAAAGCATGGATGCATAAAGGGAAGAAGTAACTGATGAAAATTAACCAAAGTAGGATTATACCTTGCTGTTTTGTTTGATTGGACAACAATAACAAGATGGGCTTCAGCGTGGGGAAAAGGTCTCCTTCGTTGCCTTTGATCACTTTACACCACATGCACCATGGTGAAGAAGATGAAGGCCAAATGAGTGGGGCTCTCTGTGATCATGAAGAATGAGCTTTCATTGATGCAAGGGCATCTATGGCTTGGAAAGAGGATTGATCCTAGCTCCACATCCACTCACAAGCTATCTTTGATGAGTGATTGTGATTTATCCTCCTTTATTTCCATAGTACAAGTTGATTTTCAAATTTTCCTCCTAAATAATGATTTTGAAAATTCAAAAATCAATTTAAATCACATTACACATTTGCCCTTGATTTTAAATACAAATTGCATGAGAGCGTATGTATGAGCATGGGAATGAAATTTGCATTAGAATGTATGTATGTATAGACATGGTTTGTATGTGTATTCGAGTACAAGGCCTCAAAAAGCCAAGTGGGAGAATTTTGGCATTATGGCCTTTCAAGTCCTCAACACAAAGATTTTCTATGCTTCTTGTTCTTTGTGGGAGTGATCAAGAACATGTGGCTCACAATTTTGTGCGAACTAGGATCCAGAGTTGGTATTCATAGAGTCACAAAACCCCGGATCATGAGGAGTGAGATTATAGGGCAACAAATCGAAAGGTTTGAGGGTTACCCCTAGTTAGGGTTGGTATTAGTACACTTCATGATCTTTTCAGCTAAGGGATGACTATTACTGTTATTATATGAGAAAATGCGTATATGGATAAGAGAATTTTTGTAATTAGTATTTCTGGGTGCTGTTGAGGATTAATGAGAGAAGCTATGTGTCCCAATGAATAGGCTTTGAGATATCACGAGCCAAATCCCAAACTTCGAACCTTCTCACGGCATGTGCATGACCAGTCGCAAATGGGAAGCCGCTCTCTCACAGTGTAATCCACTGGAGAGAGACATGCACGTGTTAGAGAGAGTACCCCACATCCCAAGAATGCATGTCTTTAGGGGTCTACCTACAATCTAATATAATTATGGGATATTAGATTAGCCTCAATGAAAACAGTCGGCCATGGGCCTTGTTGGGTTAATTTCGAGAAAATGACTCAGGGCCTTGGGAGTTGTCAAGTGGAGTTCCCAAATCATCAAGTTTAATTTCTTTAAGAATACTAATTTTGCTCTTGATATTTCTATTGATCCCAAAATCTATGGAGAAGAGTAAAATATTATTGAAAATGATTTTAGGGAAATTTTGAGAATTTTTTGAAATCTTTCTGATGTAAAAAGAGTGTTGAAATAAATTGTTTATCAAACTTCCAAACAAGGACATTGCAACGTGGGGCCCAAATGGCCAAAGGGTCCCCCGGGCACTGCCAACATGGCTGCACATCAACGCCACATCAACAACATGGCTGATGTGGGTTGACATCATGCACTTTCACAAGTGGCTCAAAAATACGAAGGCAAAACGGAACCCCACTCCAAAACCTGGGTTCCATAACAATATCCTAAACCTTTTTCCCCTTTGCCTCCATAGACCACTTGCTCCCCTTCCATTCTTTAGAGACAAACATGGTTCGAAGCTTGTCTCTCTACTTATTCAAAGAATCTAAAGACAAGAATGAAGTGGCAAACCTGGTGACCTCCGACATCACCAAGTGAGTCCCATTTGTTAGCTTCCTCTTCATTGCCAAAACATGGGTGCGGCTATAAATAAAGACAGTTATAGCTCTGGCTTTTTCTGATATCTCATGCACTGCTTTCTTTGTAGCAATTTTTTCAAGCATGAAATCTTTACAATGAGCCATGCAAGGCGTCCAGAAAATGTACAGCCTCGAAATCCTCAACAATCTACCAGTTGCCAGATTGGCCTTAGCCATATTTGTAACAACTTCACAACATGTGCCTCCCCCACCTCTGTGATGCTCTTATCCACAAAACTGTAATGAAAGCAGCATCATGAATCTTATTGGACTCGGCAATGGACTTCATAACACTCTTATACCTCCTGGGGAAATTAACTAAGAAGTTCATAACACTCCTATACCTCATGGGGAAATTAACTAATAAGTTCATAACACTCCTATACCTCATGGGGAAATTAACTAATAAGTTCATAACACTCCTATACCTCCTATCGGTCAAAAAATCTGTCATAATAGTCACTCCATTATGCCCCAAAGCATCCTTGTGGGCCTTCAGGTAGTCATTTGTTAATTCCACGTCTTTCTTCAACAAAGGCCCCTTGAGCTCATGAGGTGTTGGGCCCCTATATCCTGGGCCATACTGCCCCACTACTTTTAACATAGCATGGAAGCTCCTCAAATTGGTAGTATTAAATGGGAGACTGGCTTGAAAGTACCACCGAGCCACATACTGATTCACCCTTTCTCTATACTGCTTCTTCAATTGACTCTCTAGACTACTCTGTGCCGGCTCCTTTTCGCGAACCACCATCTCGGGATCGGGAGGTGGGAAGAATGTATCAATAGGTCCCCTTCTTTGAGGTCTCTTATGCCTATTTGGTCTACATATGGAGGCTCCTCCCTCTTCATCTTCTTCATCTATTCCATGGATATTACATAGGCCCTGATGTCTTGATATTGTTTCTTGGCCTGTTTTTTCTTCTTTTGGACCCCTTCTAAATGATCCAACATCTCTTTCTTGAGCTTTGCAGGGACTTGAGGATATGGTGGTATGTCTCTTCTTATGCTAGCCAAATGCTTTTTCAATTGATTAATGACAACATTATACTCCTTTTTGCAAAACTTGCAAGCTACTTATTCTTTTCATTAGGGTTGGGACAATATCCATATTCCCAACCCATATCACTTTGTTTACTTGAGCTCGAGGAAGACATTCACCTACAACCCTTAGCTATCAAGTATCAATTTATGACCTAAGCCTGAAAATTACACAAAAACGACAAAGTAAAACTTGAAAACATTTACAAGGAGTGAAAATTGTTAATACATACACAATTTTCAAATTAGTCATCCAAAAAATATTAAAAAATGTTCATCTAAAATACAAATAGGAAATGAAGTAGAAATAATTGTTACATTGATCCTTTCATATCTTGAGCTCTTAACAATCCAAGGATGAAGTAAAGCAAGCATTATCAAGGCAAAAAGAAAACATCTAGGTAAAACCTACATATCAAAATTACAATGATATAACACATAAAATAAAAAAAACATATTCATCATCATCATCATAGCCTTTTCCCAATTAATTGGGGTTGGCTACACAAATCCTGGTCCGCCATTCTGCTCTATTAAAGGCCATACCCTCAGTGAGGCCATAAGTCCCCATATCTTTTTGAACTACTTTCAAGCACGTCCTTTTGGGACTACCCTTTGTCCTTTTAAATTCTTCCACTTGAACTAACTTGCACGTCCTAATAGGTGTTGTACTTGGTCGGTGCCATATATAGCCAGTCCACCAAAGTCTACTCTCTCTCGTCTTCTCGCCTATTGATGCCACACCTAAATTCTCCTGATTGGATTCATTTCGAATTCTATCCCTTCTTGTCTTGCCACTCATCCATCTCAACTTCCTCATCTCTGCTACACTCATTCTATGGGTATATTCTTTTTTGTCAGTCCAACATTCAGCCCCATATAGGAAAACTGGTATGGCCATTTCCTAGAGTCCTTTGGAGAGTCATCCTGCTATGAAATTAGTTAAACATGCATGAAACTTGTAAAGAGAGACTATGCATGCAAACCTTACAAGCAAAATCCCAACTAGAGAAATACATGCATAAGCGGATATAGAAAAAAGCAAACTTCAAAAAACGACTTTCCCATATATTTGTGTATGTGCATCATTGATGAATTTGTGCGAGACTTTCATTCCATCAATATGCCCATTTTGCGATTGACTCAATATGCCCATTTCAGGCACATAGAAACACATTACATTCCATCATGAAAAAAATAATATTCACCATTTCAGACAATTACATTACATTCCATCATGAAAAAAATAACAACCATATGAAAAACAAGAGAAAGGTTTCTATGCTTCCCCTACAACATAAAAGGTATATACTTCCCCCTTCATCTAGCCGTCCAATTTAGATCAAGTGAGCCACTAACCATTTAATCTAAATCCGACTCCTCAAAGTATTCTATTTACTATGAAATATGAAATTTTGGTAATGTGGCATCACCTAAATGGGGCAACGACCCTAAATAAAACTATAAAAACTAATTAGTAAGATAAAATAAA